CAACTGCACGAATACACAAACACACACACAAAGACGAAAGAGCAGCAGGCAGAAAACACAGCAGCATAGAAAAGTTCATTTAAGCCTGGTTGACAATGTGGGTATGAATTCAAGAACGAGCACCATGAGCCTTGCGTCATATAATATTCAGCCCTGATTTGTTTATATGAAGTGATTAATGCTGCCTCAGGTCAAAGTCTGACTCTGCAATGATTGTTCTTATTATTCTTATTAACAGATAGAGATGGTGCAGGCGTCAACAAGCAGCAGCTCCTGCCAAAGTAGGATATTACTCATAATAATATTGTATTAATCACTGTAGCTTGATACAACGTGTGAACAGATTTTGGACAGGTTTTTTTGTTAATTAAGTGTTTTTGTCTTCTTACGTTTGATCAGGACCTTTGCCATCATGCACAGAATCTGAACATTCAGCTCTGTCTCGGAACCACTTGCAATGAAACGTATAAACAGTGAGGTTTGGTGAAAAGCATTTCCAGCTTGTTTGTGTCCAACTTTGGTGCAGACTGAAATGTCACATCTGTCCAACTATGGGACAGATTTGCAGACAATAACACAAAACAGACCTAGTGACTACATCCTGACATCCATGAAACTTTCTCCTTCACTTTTCTAAAGAGCTTAAAAACAGCTGCAGACGACAGCATTACATCCGTGTGTAAATTCAATAAAACAAACAGAAATTCCAAATTCCATCATGTATTAGTAATCATCAAATTATAGATAATGCTTGTCGGCTAAATTTGCGCTGATGCTACAAGGTAATGGCTTCATCCTTATCACATCATTTTACCTTAGATAATACTTTATTCTGCTGTGTTCTGTTTGAACTTTCATTTTCATATTCATTTTTATTTATTATACATGAAAAGATTATAAGCAACATTAGTAAACAGGCGTGACTAAGTCTGATCTGGTTTATAGCAGGTTCCTGTTCTGCAGCATGTAAAAGACAAAAATCACATAAAAAACACAAAAAACTGAACAAAACCAAAACAGGGACAAACGATAGAGATGACGAGAATACAGTTAGCTACACAGACGTTTAGAGGGGAAGGACCTAAATGTTATGAAATAACCAGTAGAAGATATATCAGTGGTTGTGGGAAACCGTCCTGCAGAAAGTGTTTGCCTTTTTTAAATGTTAATGTTTTAATGTGGCAGGGGATCTCATTTCAGGGTTTAGTGAGTGAGTGAAAAAAATATCTCTGACCATATCCCTGCATAACTGAGTTCATGGCCATGGAAGATGTTTTGTTTCAAACTTGGTTTATATTTGCACATGAATTCAAATGTTCAAAAGCAGAAACCATTATATAGTGAACGTTACACATCCAGTCTAGAGCATAGATCCAAGGATATCCCAAGGCTTCGAACTGAACAGCGTTGTAAACACAAGAGATTACCCAGCCTCTCCAATGTGTACACCCCCCTCAGGTGCAGCAGTTAATTAAAAGCTGGATGTTTAAAAAAAAAAGTGGAAGCTTTGAATGAAGCACATCAAGAGCGTGACGTTTACAACACGTCCTCCCTATTGCAGGTTCCTCCTCAGTCTATATCCAGCACTTCTTTTCTCCAGCTAAGTGTGTTTTGCAGGAATCAACATTATAGCCAGCAGCTGATCTGGGGGCTCCGCCTGTGTCTTTACTTTAATCTCCATTTAATGTTGAAAGCACGGCAATAAAAGCTGCTGCCAAGAGACACAGACCTAACTCCAGGATCAAGGACAGAGATGTTTTTCCAAGGCCTGGCACACACTGACAGATGTCTCGGGGGCTGCTTTTTTACTGACAGTTATTTACAGTGAAGGCGTGCTGCTGCTGGAGATAGTGAGCTGAAGTTGAAGAAATCCCTGATTTGACCATGTGAGATAGATGGATCCTTTTACAATGGCAAATTATGCTGCTAAAATGCTGAAGTACCATAGCACAGTAAATCCTCAGCAGCATAGTCAGATGTCAAAGATGCAAATATGCACGGATACACACTATAAGTATATTTATATTCATGCACGTACACTGGAAAGCATACAGATCTTGCTGTGGGTAATGAGGATTGGATCGGGGCTGGCCAGAGAATTGGCCCTAAGCTCAGAAATGTGGAGAGGAAAGAGGCTGACAGAGAGAGTCAGAGGTCTGAATGTGTAGAGTGTGAGTGTAGAGAAGGAGAGAGGGAAGAAAGTAATACGAGTCAGAGAGATGGCTTCCTAAATAGGACGAGATAAATTGGCCTCACAGCATTTTGCGTGTGAAGCATCCAGCTGACACACACACACGCATGCACACACACACACGCACACACTCACGCACACACTTCTGCTCGGTCCATTCAAGCTTATATTACATCCCCGTGTGTTAGTTTGCTTCCCTGCTCGTTTCTGTAACTTATCTGATAACAGCAAGAAACTGCACAGGGCTGACATAGGACATCGGTAGCGTGTAAGAGGCCAGCAGCTTTTTCAGGCAGCTCTTAAAACTTTCATGTCTTATGGTCCTAATTTGTTGTAAGAGTAATGTTGAATATTTCAGTATAGGGCCTCATTATAGTGTTCACTGTTTGTCTCATGAGGAAATAACAGAGAATTTCCATAAGCGAAGATGACAATCTCTCATATAGAATTGGTCAGGTGATATAAAACATCTCTTTGAACACATGTGCAAAACGTCCAGGGTTTAGAACAGAGTACAAAGATTAACATTCAAGTCCTGAGAGAAAGAAAGGAACAAAAGCATTGAATCTTTGTTTCTCTTTACATCACATTTACCTGTGTTCACTGCCAGATTGTGATCTTTTCACTGTTTAAAGTGTAGTATTCATTATCCATACATATGAAGGATATTCAGCCTGGAAAAGTCATTGAACAAGGAAGATTTTAGTTGAAAATCCTCATCATGTATTTTGTCTCATCCAACAAAAGACTTCTCCATTACACATGTTTTGCTTTTCGTTTATGCTCCATTGGGATTTTGGACAACAAAAAAGCTAAACTTTTTACTTTCTATGTTGTAACGCTCCCATCCTCTGAGCCATTTCTCCCTAAATAATCCATGTTAAGTCACGCTTCAGGTATAACCTGAGCAATGTTCCTGTGAGACAGCTCAACACTGGGACTAACGGAAACTATTTCCTTTACAGTGTACGCTGAGAAAAGGTTTAAGGAAGGCTGTGATTCCACCTTTTCACTGTTATCTCCCTCCACATGAGCGTAGATGAAGGCAACTCAGAAAATGTGGTGCTGAATTATTCCATGGCAAATGAAACAATGGTTGCTCATATCAGCTCCACTGAACAAGAGGAAGCTGTACGTCTGAACCACGGGCACAAAGAGCAAAATGAGGGGAAAAAAGCCTGACTCTGGTTCTGGGTTTCCAAAGGTAAGAGATATGAACCAAGAGAAGAGAGAAGAAAGCAAGAGAGAGCGGTCTAGAAGGATACTGCTGAAGCTGTATCCACTTTTACTGCACGCTGTTTATCATGGTTCATCATAGTGTAATGGACTGGAAGATCACTCAATATGTGTGAGGGTGTGTGTGTGTGTGTGTGTCATAGATAATATAAACATTTGAAAAATGTGCATATTGGTACATGGTACAACAATTAGTACAACAGCAGGAATTTGCACCAAATCAAAGAGATTGAAGCTCTCTAACCCCTAACCCTTCCATGAGCATGCACACACACACATGCACTGTGCACAACCATGTACTTCTATCTTAATGAGGATGCTCATTGACATAATGAGACCCTAGACCTGTATCCTAACCGTAACCATCACAATTAACAAAGTAATGCCTAACCCTAACCTAAACATAATTTCAAGTCAAGTCTCAACCCTCAAACTTTTATACAGGGTCAGAAAGTAAGGACCAGTCCAAATGTCCTCACACTATAATTTCACAAAGTTATCTGTACAAGTACACAGATGTGCACACCCAGCCACCCACACAGACTGACAAGCTTATAACTGCATAGTGCAGATGTTTCTGCCGGGTCAAAGTTAAGTCAGAAATAACTGGAGCTTGAAACAATCTCTTTGGAATAAGACAAATAGACTAAAATCATAAATACACAACCCTCTGCCAGCAGCAATGTAAATGTATTAATTTGTTTTCAGGCAGCTTTGCATTGTGCATTCAAGGAAACTTTAAAAGAGCTGTAGTAATGATGAATGATGTATTGCTGAGACAAGGCATCTGTCAAAATAATGGATGGAGTCAGTGAGAAATCCACTGTATATTAAAAGCTGGCAGAGCACATATTTCTGCCATGGTTTAACTCCTCTCTGTTTCTGAGATAGCAGTGAGTTTACACAAACTCATTCTGAGGGGTTTGACGCACCTAGGATTCCTTTACTGCACCATACAAACAGAGAGACCATAGAAACTCAGGTATGTGGTCACTGTATTGTTCACCTGACCGGACCAGTCCCGACGTACTAATGTTTCCTGTCCAGTCATTTATTCATCCATCAGTGACAGTAAACAGACAAACGTGGGTTGAAGGCAGAAGGAGACGAGTCTGTGATCAGATCTCCTGTAAAAACTGCTCCACGTTAGAAATAAAGCCATTGAAATAAAGATTATGATCTGAAATTTACAACCACATTTAGTCCCGTTCAAATCTTTTCCCTTGTAACACCACACTGACTGTGCTGCTGTCAGCTGCTCCAACCACCTTCAGCAATATGACGTCCACGAGCTGCGACTCCATCAAACCAGTTTTACTTTTATCTATCCCCAGTGAATCATTACTTTTACAATCGGAGTGATGTGCCAACCTCAGACTGAGCAGGAGGTTATTAAAAACCAGGGTCTGATGATGTGAACGTGCAAAAGTCCATTTTGCCACTGAAATAACTTGTCAATGGCCAAATGACATTTTCACCAATGCAGCTCATCCTGCAGAATAATTTAAAACTACAAACTACGAGAACATAAGATATGTATACTCCACTCATTCATGCACACACTGCTTCCTACCTGTGACTTTGAGTTGAGATGTCCGCCGCACCACTCTCGATCCGTACTGTAACTCACAGGTGTAATTTCCCCCGTCGCCCTCCTCCACCTCAGGTATCCACAGGTGAGTGGTGTTCACCATGATGGAACTCCTCCATTCAACCCGCTCACACTCCTGACACACAGACAGAAGGTGTGAGTTACAATCGTCTGGACGTTCGCGTATAAGGTACTGCTCGAAATAGCTGCTTTCAGAAAAGCACTAAACTCTGAGAAATCTCCTGAAATTATCCAGAGGGGCTGTGTGTGAGATTGCAAATGAGTGAGCCCATGTGAGAACACTGCAGATGATTATCCGAAGGATTCACTGCAAACCAGTGGGCACGTTCATGACATTGTCACATATGACAAATGGGAAACAGAAAAAAAAAACTGACTGCAAATATCTCATGATGAAAAAGAGATGTCACACACATAGACGTCTTTGTGAATCTCCTGCTGTGATCCCGTATAATCTCCAGCTGTGTTCTTTGTTGTGGGGAATTTTTCTGCAGTATATATCTTAAAATGGCTAACGTGTGTGTGTGTGTGTGTGTGTGTATGTGTGTGTGTGTGTGAGTGTGTCATACCTTATACCAGGTCATTTGTGGCTGCTTGTACGGAGCCATGTAGTCTTCTATATCAGGGCAGGTGATCATTTTGCTGTGGGTTATCTCAGCTTTCTCCAGATGGCGGATTTTGCTGCTGAAGCATCTCCCCTCATCGCTCTCCTCCACCGTCATCGACATGGACACTTTCATGCAGTAGGTTGAGTTCCTGGAAGGATTACAGACACAACAAAGAGAACGTGTTTTCCTTATTATGTGAAAGTGAAAAATCACCTATAAAATCATCCCATCACTTGATACATATGTGCAGTCTGCATTTCTGAGGCAGGGGCAAACTGCTTGTGTTTGTTTTGAGCAGATTTGTTTATCCGCCCAACAGGTAATGATAACTGTGACATGAGTGATTTCACCATCTGTCCAACCCTGGAACCGTGTGCGTGAAACAATACGTTTTCACGTAGACCATTTGGCACCTTTGTGGGTATTCTGGTGAAATTATAGGTCCTTCTGACATCTCAGTGTTTCGTTGACAACAGTGAAACCAGAGGAAATTACTGGTTGTACAACCTTCAGTGTCAACAAACAAAACTCAACTTTATAAGAAATTAAACTCTGTAAAGGCACTTTTAGGCAGGATCTAGAGAAACATCTATTCAACAACCAACTCCAGTCATCAGGAATTGCATTGCTCACACATTTTGGGGTTAATCCCCATTTCTTCACTTTTGGGATTATTTGATATGGTACTATTGTGATGAATGAGTTTTCCACTAACTCTGGTGTCATTACTATGCGCCACATTTTAGAGATCAGTGTCATATTATGATATATATTGACCTAATTCCATATTATACACCCCAACAGGGACATTTTTGAAAATAGGTGTTGAGTCAGTTTTCAATGTCAATTGAGTAAGGAATAGGGTTAAACCAATATGAATCCATTTTTGTTGACAATGACTAAGTTACATAGACACCAATATTCTGACTTATTATTATTGCTATGTTGCTAATATATTTCTAAATATTGAATTATGTCCGCTACACCAGTACCATGTTATGACACCAGTTTATAAAACCTATTGAAATAGTTTAACTTACGATGTTACAGTACACCATTTTCAGTGGTTTCTTTCAAATTTAATTTTGTTTTCTTTTTTAGCAGGGCATCTTTATTGTTTCGTTTGGGTTTAATTGGCCTCATTAAACTCTTTGTACAAGAATCCCACTATGAGTGCCTGCTCAGGACTAACGGCTTCACACAGAAGCCAGTGGTGAATCAATACAAAGCTAAAAAGAGAGTGACTATTTGACATTCATCAGGTACCCAGAGACACAACTCCAAATAAATGCTAATGTTGCTCCACATGTTGGATGTGTAAATAGGCAAGTGCTCTCTAGTGGCAAATAATGTTAAATAAATTAAAAATGATTGTGGTTATGGTGCAATAAAGTAGATGTATTCATAGATCCATATATTTATTGGAGTCAGTGTAACAAGGACAGAGGTGACGTAATGAGAGCAGACAGGCTCTTTGGACTGTGTAAGAACACAGTGACTTGTTATTTGTGTCGTTGCAATACTCTTTTAATGATGATATTTGAAGTGTGACAGTACGTCCTTGAGTCGGAAAACCTCATGTTATCAACAGAACAACTTTGGAGCTTGTTAGGATTTGTATGATGCAATGTGGCTTCAACCTCACTTTGGATTTGAAGTCTTAAAATTTGCTGAAGGTGATAGTAATCTGTGTAGGTCTTCCTGTGTGCGTTCTGCCAAGTTCACCTCCAGACACAAAAGACCACATTGATCTCTCTCTCTCTTTCTATCTCACCCATGTGTGCACACACACAGACACACACAGGACTCAGCTATTGTCCCCTTACCACAACCTCTCATCTAAGTGGATCAAAACCACTTATCCCATCAATGCTGTGCATCTCTCTGTGTGTTTGTGTGTGTGTGTGTGTGTGCATGCAGGATGCAGGGATTCTTTAGTCACTGACCAGGACCACTGAGCATTGAACTGGAGGCCTGCAAAGCCTTTTATCCATCCATCCCTCAGTTTCTCTCCTCATCAATCTATCTCCAGGCTGCAGCATCTTGTTTTCTCCTCCACTGATTCACTTACCTTTACCTTCTCATGCCCCCATCTATCTGTGTCTCTCGCCCTTTGACACACACATCATCCAGCCTTTCATGAACCGCAAACATTATTGCCTTCGCCAAAAAGGTTATCTTTTCACCCATCGGTTAGTGTGTTGGTAGTGGGTTGGTTGGTTGGCTTGTTTGTTTGGATGTTTGCTTGTCAGCAGAATACTGCAAACACTACTGAACAGATTTCAATAAAACTAGGGAGGATGAGACATGGGTCGACCACAGAAACCATCACATTTTGGAACATATTTGGGAAAATTGGGCAGATCCAGGATTAAAAGAAATAGTTTTATTTTGAAATTTTCCTAGGAAATGTTTAATGGATAATTAAATGTGCTCAAGTCCCTTTAGGGGACTGATATCTATGAGTGTGTTCAATGTTGTGTGTGTTGGATGAATTTAAGGGGACTGTTGGGCTTTGGCACAAATGCCATTCACTACGTTTATTTTACTCCACATCAGAGCCAGTGTCAATAGTATCAACAAAGACTGACTAATAGTATTTGTTGACATCAATTTTCCATCGCAAAAACATTACTAAAATAAAATAAAAGTTACGATTCTGAACTAGAAATATAGTGAAATTCACAACGATGTGAAATATAGACATGCATGTCTGCCATGTATATTCAGATACATGTATAATCACATTTAAAAGAAATAACATGTATGTACATGCATGTGCACATATGTTGGTTCTTCAGCATATATGGCTGTTTTCATCAGAATGGGGGACAGTGGCTCCGACCACTGAACATTGACTGACACACATACAGACACATCAGTGTTGTATTCAGACACAAGGTGCTCTCACTGTTTTTATACTAGATTTGGTCATAATGGGTTGGATGGAATCTGATCTCATCTAATTACATGATGTAACAAGTATATTCTTTACTATAATTGGTAAAAACCAGGACAATGACTGCAGTGATATGCCTCTCTACTTGATTTTTACATTGCATGTGTCTGTGATTGGGGAAAACATAGGGCTTCAGATACAAATGACAGAATGCCTGTTGGGTTTGGATAGTTTCCTCTCGGTCAGACAGACTTGGACAGAGAATCCCAGCCAGAGCTGCACTCTATTCTGGATCTCGAGATATACGACCTTCACGACTTGCCAAGGAACTTCACTTGTAAGTAATGTACATTAAATTATGTGTGAAAATGTATGACGAATACATACATCACATAATAATTTTTCATTAGACATGATGACGTATCTAAGTCCAAAGACAGTTTTGGTCCTCCCTTGTTACGGCACTAAAATAGAAACACTTCCAAAAGCAGAAAGGGATTTTATGTTAAAGTGCCCTTTCATCTTGTTGCTGTCATGAAGCAGTTGTACACATCTGTGCCAGTAACACATAATGAACTGAGATGATCTAAAATGAGGAGAACTGAAGTAGCTTTCTATTGTATCCCTTTCCGCTGTGTCCCTCCACATTCTCTTTTTCTCTTTCATGCCCTCTCCCTCTTCGTGTCCGACCCAAAAACCTGATGCCAGACACTAAATGGTAAAAACAGCATCAATGTAAAGAGGAAATGTATTATGCACATCTTATGACGATTCAATTAGACTGCAATGGAAATGCTGTGTCAGAAGCATTTAGCACATGCTGTGCACCTCTTACAAATGCAAATTGTGTGTCTGTGTGTGGGTGTATTCATATCTGGTGCTGCGTGGAATACATTGAAATGCTTCAGTTGGTCAAATACCCCTGGAGTAAAAGACACTAGAGTATTGAATGCTTTACCCGCTGCACAACTGCACATTTTGTTTCTTTGCTGTGCTGTATTTCATTGACAAATGGTCTTCACACCAAAATGATGATGATTGACCTTGATGGAAAATGGAGGAGGCAAATTAATGTAACCATACTCAAAATAACCTTAAACTGATAATATACCACCCACACCTAATTATGTTCATGCACTTTGTATGAGACACTCTTGAAAAGGAAGAAAATGACTAATTAAAGACGGAGCAGATGGAGCAGAATGAAAGATCGAGCGTTCACAAAAGAAAAAACAAACAAACACATCATTTCAACCCAAGCATCTCCTGCATGTGTTGAACATCACAGCAGCTCCTGTGTGTTTCCACACACCGTCTGAGGTGGGAACTTCCCTTTAATTGGCGTCTTCCAAGAAAAACTTCAGTCAAAGCAGGAACTCAAAGGTGTTTCCTTGCCAGCAGAGGTATTTTTAACATTCCTCCATGATTTTACCCTCCGCTGACACTTAGCATTGCCCAGAAAGAGCAGACATGACAGATTAAAGGTTCCCATTTACATGCACATTGAATATTGTCACTGTAGCTATCCACAATATTTAAAGAAAGAGATGTGACATTGCGGAACTTGGTCTCTTTTTCTTCAAAAGTTAGATGAGAGGATCAAAACCACTTTCAAGTCATTATGCTAAATAAAAAGTCTAGACTTGAGGCTCGGCTTGAGAACCAGACTTAGTAGTTTTTGTGCTAAGCCGAGGTAACTGGCTCCTGTCTTCTGATTGTATTCAGTACAGATGTTTTATTGTCTAACTCTTGACAAGAATGGAAGTAGGGGTATTTACCAAAATGTCAAACGATAACTTAAGGAAATGACAATGCAGTATCATTTTGTACCCAGAGTACACTTTAGAGAGTTAAATGTACTACTTAAGTGTTGGTATTTGTGGTAAAATTCTAGGCACCTCTTACAATGGTTTCCACAAGAAATTATAATAAATCCCCCTGAAAGTAAAAGCTATTAACGGAACATCTCAGCCCTGAAGACAGCTGCTAATATGAATATCTGTCAAGAGGAAGGAGGAGGACATTTATGTGGCACAGGACTTTATTAAGCAGACAGGGAAATGGCTGCAGGACACACAGCGACAAGAGAAGATTTTGAAGTACAAAAAAAAATAGTGAATATAATGCTACATATCAGATTGTTCTGGGATAGCATTTTTGGTTCATCTTGATCTTATTAGAGATGTGTTTGCATTGCCTGTGGCTCTTTCATTCTCATGAGACGTTCACACTTTGCAGACCATCAAAGC